TGTCTTTTTAATTTGCATAACATATACTCCACTTACCGCTAACTCAGCCCTACACTGTCCACTAGTTTGTAAGTGACCTATATTATCCTCTCTTGACCTCAGTGTTTTGTGTCTTGGTGTGGGTTTATTTGCATTCATTGTGAAAGAGACTTGGTGGGTTTTCTCATTTTAGAAGCTCCAGAACTTTGGTCCTGAAAATATTAATTGAATGATGATTTCCTCCCCTCCGTTGTTGTAGTCTCTCTAGAATTTCTGTTATTCACCTACTTACCTCCTAAGATAGTCCTCTTATTTTCCTGGTCTCTCTATATTTTTTTTGTCCTACTTTATCTTCCAAGCCCTCTGATCTTTCATTTCTATGATCACAGTAATAATTTCCAAACGCTGTGTTTTTTGAATGTACTGTTTACTAGCAAGCTGTTCTTGTATCACAGATGCAATATTAATCATGGTTTTTTACTGCTTGTTTCCTTTTACCTACAAATCTTGGTTGTCTTCATTTTTTTATTTCTTTAACTCTTTATTTTGAACTTCATTGGTACATTAGAGGCTTTCTTCAGGTGCTTGGTACTTCTTCACCATCTGCTCTTAATTTCAGAGTGAGGGTACTAAAAAGCTGATCAGTAGCTCTGAGCCTTCGGTGGGATTCATCCATGGTGAACTGGTCTGTTGGGTGATCTAGTGAGGCCACTGCGGCAGGGGACCTCCAATGGCAGTATCGTCTGGTATTCCTTTTTATGCTGGTCAGATTTTCCAGAGAAATATCTTTCCATTTTCTGTCTGGAATTATAGAACCGGCAGCCTGGGAGCTGAATAAGGAGGAAAGTGTCAAGGTCATACTCTATCAGCCCAATTTTCTCTGATTCTAAGCCTGAGCATGTAACCACTACCCAATACGTCACTTTCATTCCTCTTTACCCCAGTGTTTTTTTCCCCTACCCCAGTTTAGTTTAATGTGTTGACTACCCACCCTGCGTCTAATCACTAAGTCTAATGAGAACCATTGGTCTAAATGCTGGGGATGAAAAAATCATTACAACACTCTACCACCCCCCCCACTCCCAGGTTCGATGTAAGTCAATAAAAGATATTGAGCTTTCGATGTTCAAAGTTCTAGGCTAGCATTGTGGAGAGGAAATGTGTCAGTAAGACACAGTTCCTGTCTCAAGAAGCTCATAGATAGGCATGGCAGGTAGAAACAAATTATGAAACCAAACTACAAGGCAGAACATGAAATGAGGGCAGCAAAAGAAAGGAAGAGGTACTACGGTTGTTCTGCAAGGAAGAAGAGATTTCATCTGCATTGTGGAGATGTGAAGGAAGTAGGGATTTGAATCGGAGCTTTAAAACTGCCCCAGATTTAACAAGCAGAAATGGAAAGGGGGTATAAGCAAAAGCAAAGGTTCAGAGATTTAAAAATGGAGTTTTAGGCCCTTCCTTCTCCCTGCAGGGTGATTCTGGGGGGCCCCTCCATTGCTCGGTGAACGGCAAGTACGCTGTCCATGGAGTGACCAGCTTTGTGTCCAGCCGGGGCTGTAATGTCTCCAGGAGGCCCACAGTCTTCACACGGGTCTCTGCTTACATCTCCTGGATGAACAAAGTGAGTCTTTGCACATGACGGGTTGAAACAGGGTCACCTGAAGATCCCTGCCCTGGCTGGGAAGCTGGCCTGGGGAGGCCATCATTTTCCTCACCACATTTGTTTACTCCTCTCCCTTGCCTCCGTGGTGCACTTTCCCTCGATAATGCTGCCGTCCTGGGTTCCCCTCCACACACCCAACAGGCTTCACCAAAGTGTTTATCACTTAAGGCGAGATGGTGACAACAGCAGACCTTAACCAGGCATGTATCAGTGCTGTCCTACGTCAAAGCCAAGAGAAAAATGGCTGCAGCTAGGGGATGGAAGGGTCACTAACATATTCTCCCCTGCGCTCTTAGCGCAATATGAGAAGTTGCTTTACCCTTCAGCAAGACGTTTTACCACTCTAGACAATGCCTGACGGTTAGGTGAGACTTTACCTACACAGTGACCTAACGGTAGAGCTTCACCACCATCCCACCTATGCCCTCCAACTTTCAAACACACTCTGGAGTCTTGTGGCATGAACTTTCATTAACAACCGTTTCCAGGCCTGTCCTTGCCACTAAGTGCTGGGTATGGGCCTGTAACAGTGAATTATCCCGACACGGCTGAAATCTCCTTCCTCCGCACCCCTCTCCCAATTCCCCCAGAAACCCAGTGCAGGGTCACACTCAACCAGGAGTCCTGGAAGAAAACAGAAGGGAGGTGGGCAGAAGTCACTGACTGTGGGCATATCGACTTTTCCTTCAGGTCATTGCCTCCAACTGAACATCTTCCTGAATCCAACGGCCTGCCCAGGATGACACTTAGATCCATAGTAGCACTTGAGGCCACCAAGGAAAAAACATGAGAGACCAGCAAGCCTGATACAGAAAAGCAAATAAAACTGAATATACATGATCATCCTGAGTCTTTTTATCTGTGATAGAACCCTCTAAAGGAAATGTAGTTCTAGGATCCACAGTTGATGCCACCACATTTCTGTGCTGTTTCTTTCATTTACCGCCACCTCTGCCAGGCCCCAAATGAAGCCAAGTGGAAGTGGTTTTACATTATCCCTTTTGCATCATGTTCAGATCTACGCATCTATCCATCTGCCCCTCTGCTCTCCCTTCCACGTGTATTTGCTATATTCAAAGGCACAGAGTGCTTTCAAATGTTCGTGAGTCCCTAAATGCGCCCGGACTCTCCCAGGCAGACTGTGGTCTCGTCTTTCTTTTGTTCCCCCCTTCAGTGCCTAGAACAGGTGCTCCAGGATACACTAGAGATAGGAATACAGGACTCTGTGGTAGGTCAGATACCAGCTGACAAAGAAAGTGACAAATTACAAAGGAGACGAGGGAGGCAAGAATAGAAACAAGGAGAAAAGAAGAAACTGGACAAAGAGAGGAAAAGGTTGAGCAGAACAAAAAGGAAGAAGAGACAACAATATAGGGCCTCCAACTATGTGTGAGTCAGCATTTCAAGTCTGGGACTAAAATAGACAACTGGATCCGGGGTTCTATAAACCACAGAGAACTGGGAAGCTGATAATTCTGCCCGATTCTGGCCTGGACTCAGTCCTTTGGAGTGGCCTACAATAGACTTGAGGACGGAACTGAAAGAAGGCAAAGTAGATGAGAAGCAGCTGTTCATAGTGATCCCTGAGGACCAGACAAGAGAAATAGGTAGTTAATGTCATAACTGGAGAAACTGGCTAAGACTGGTCCTGGCTTTATAGGCTGTGACGTCAGCAGAAGCCTCTGGAACAGCGTCTGCGCTGTAAAAAGCTGGGTCAGGATGCCTGTATTCCCATCCCGGTTCCAACACTGAGCAACTGGGTAATCCTGGGCAAGTCTACAAGCTTTTTCTGGGACTTAGTTTCCTCATCTAGTTAACTTCTAAAGATTGTCCCTGCTTTAAAACTACAGGATTTGGTGATCACTGATTTCAGTTCCTAAGAAACTGGCACAGAAGAGGATTTCTTAGGAGACAGTGGCTGGCCTGCATTGCTAAGGACGCTGTGGACTGCCGAGAGTGACACAAGTGTTGGCCCCCTTCTGCTAGTTACAGACTTATTATCATGACCATCTCTCAGTTTCCCACAGTACCATCATCCCCTGGGCTTCTCCCCTCTTCTTCCCATCCAACATCAAGTCTTCCCATTTTCTGCACTCTGCCCCTTCTAGACTATCCCTACAGCTCATATCCAGCATAAACCCCAATGACCTAGGACCTGACAATTTCATATCCATCTCTATAAATGCCTTAAGCACATAATATTATAATCATTTGATTACCAACCTCTCTCCACCTCCAGACTTAAAGTATCTTGAGGTCAGAAATCTCTCTCTGTTTTTAATTTATCCTTGGTTTCCCAACACGGAGCAATGTCCGTCACACAGCTGACCCTGAGGGCAGTATGTCTGTTTCGGGGAATGGCCTGGGAAACAGCATACAAGGGCCTCCAGCTTCCCTCTCCACTCCTCAGGAAGTCATCTTGACCCTCTTCCCCTCTTGCAGGAAGGTTACAGCACGGTAAAAATCTGTGAGTAAATGACACCTCCCAACCCAGTGTCCTAATCTCCAGCTATCCCCTCAAAGCCATCAGCTTCAGGTAGAAGACCTCGGTAGGAGCAACGGGTGTGATCTGGGCAGCCTCATCCCCACTTTCCCAGCCTGTGCCTGCCTTCACACTCTGCCTCCATGGAGTACACACACCAGTCCATCCCGCTATAGACGTGTGCCCCCCTCCCCAGCGCGGGTTTCCATTCTCTCCTCCTCCGTCGTTTTCCAGTAAGATCCTCTCTTTTCCGAAGGACCCCCATTTCAAGCCTTGGCCTCAGTTTTTCCTCCCTTTCAAATCCAGATGTAGAGTCCTGCGCCTTCCCACACTTGGTCCCTACCAGTTCCAGGCTTACAGCAGGGGCTTTCCATCCTTAAAAACAGTAACCTAGAATAAGACGATGATTCCACCCGGCAACCCAGAAGACATGGCCATGCAGTGAAACGCTTCCCAATACTCTTGCTAAGTGGAAATAGCAATCTTTCTACCCCATCGTTCCAGTTTATGCTGATGTTTATGGCGAATTGGCTGCGGGCACGAATGAGTCTTGGCCCACATTAGAAAACTGTTCTTTGGAGCTGGTGTTCCCGTCCCTCCAGGCGGCACAGCTTCAAGGCTGGTTTTGAGTGAGCACCACCTGAGGGCAGTCCCAAATTTCCAGCCTCCTCCTCCGAACAGGTGCGGCCCCCGCTCCAGACGTCCCCCTTGGAGCCAGGGCTGAGCGGTGGTGGGTCTGGGGTCCTCGGGACCACCGCGGCTGTGCCGGGAGCCCACCTCCGGAGGAGCCTGGGCTGCAGCGGGGGTCTCGAACGACGTGGGGCGGGGCCGCCACGGCCACGGCCGGATGCGAGGCATGCCGGGAACCGCACTTCCTCCTTGGGGGCCTCCAGAAAACCACAGGCCGCCGGGCCAGGCCGCCCGGGGCCGGCAGGATGGCGGAGGGCAAAGCGGGAGGCGCCGCCGGCTTGTTCGCCAAGCAGGTGCAGAAGAAGTTCAGCAGGGCCCAGGAGAAGGTAGGTGGCTGCCCCGCCCCCGCCGCCGCCGGTCCCACCAGCCGGACGCGGTGAGAGGGGCATACAGGGTCCCCAGGGGGCCTGGGCGGAACCGATGGGTCCCCGGCTTCCCCTGCAGACGGGAATGGGACCGGGTTTCCCTTAAAATAGAACGATTTGAGAGAACGGAGGAAATCACCCGATCTCGGAGGACGCCGAGGAGACAATAGTCTCCCTCAGGAACCCTAAACAAGGCTCGGGCCAACCCAGGAGAGGTGGGAGAAAGGAACCAACGTTGGCAGTTTTTGTCGTAGCAGTCCAGCGACGATAGTATTTTACAGATGATGAAATTGAAGGTCCGAAAGGGAGAATATCCCCAAACTCATAAGGCAGCTGTGACCGGCTGTGCTACCACCGAGGACCACCTAGTCCACCAGGACTAGAGTAATTCTGCAGGGTTCTCTCTGTACCCACCCCTGCCTGGCCTCTGCCGGTTGTTGAAGCTGATGTAAGCGGTAGCCCGTATCTGCCTTCTGTGCGGTCTCTTTGGTGTTGGAAAGTACCGGGCCGGGGTGATGAAGGAGCATCTCTTTCTGGATTGTGTCCTCCGTTTAGCTCTGGGTGGCCCTACTCCAGCACTAGCATGTAGGTAAGTTGTCCCCCTGTAACACCTCTCTACACATTTTAATGACATTCTTTTTCTCCCTGTCCAGAGTCTTCCCTTCTCTTGTAACCTGAAGCTCTCAGCTCTCCACCTATCAATCCCTGGTAGATGAACGTCCTTTTTGTCTTTGAGGAAGCCAGGGTCATGTGAAAGAGTGGAGGAAAAGGGAAGATTTTGTGTGGCTAGACTTACTCTTAACTTCACCTTGATCGTGGTTTCAGCATCTTGAAAGGCTGTCTAGTTAAAATCTGATCGCGATCAGAGCCTGTGGGCAGATCTAGTTAGAAACCGTGTGGAGGAACAGGAGGGACCTGCTACGCTATCATTTGGAAAAACAAAGAAAATCCAGAAGACCAAAAACTCATGGATAGTAGTTATTTTAAAAATACACAGCAGGGGGCCTGGGTGGCTCAGTGGGTTAAAGCCTCTGCCTTCGGCTCAGGTCATGATCCCAGGGTCCTGGGATAGAGCCCCACATCAGGCTCTCTGCTTAGCGGGGAGCCTGGTTCCCTCTCCCTCTCTGCCTGTCTCCCTGCCTACTTGTGATCTCTGTCTGTCAAACAAATAAATAAAATCTTAAAAAAAAAAAAAAAGATTAAAAAAAAATACACAGCAATTGGTTTTACCTCCCTCTTTCACCTCCTGTCCTCATCCAGCCGATCATCAACACTGTGCCCCTGGCTTGGGATTTCTCTCCTTTTCAAAGCATGGACTCGAAAGCCTTACATAAATAATGTCCCTGCTCTGGGCTTCAGGTTCTGCATCTGTAAAAATGAGAAAGTCGATGTTAAGTGATTTGGAAATTAGACGTGTAAGGATATACCAAAGCGAGAGAAGGGGTGAGGGTGCCTCGAACCTCAGAGGCAAATACTTCCCAAAGGGAGAACCCCCCACCCAGGTACACCCTGTTCTTCCTGGTCTGAACCCTGAGAAAACAGAGAGCCCCCTCACATCTGTCTGCCTTAGGGAACTTGCAGGTTAAGGCAGAAAACAGGAAGATGCCCTGAACCCAGACATAAACACAAAGGCAGGCAGACCCTGAACTTGGAGCAGTACCTCTGGCCCCCTGGAGGTCGTTGATGCACTTGGATAGGGTGGGAATGGCCTGGAATGTGGGAAGGAGCTCAACTCAGCCTGCCAGAGTCCTTGAGTCCTGGGAGGTTTTTGAAGGCAAGACAGAGAGAGAGAAAGTTACCATCAAAAGAAAGGACTCCCTGGTACACTTACAGTTGTTGTATTTTTCTTTAGAAGCAGTTGGCTGTAATATTCTGAGTAATATGTAGTAACTCAGGTGTCACATAGTCAAATGGGTCAAATATTAAGCGCCTATGATTGACAAGGCACAGGAAATTAAGAAAGACACCATCTCTCTCTCTATGAGGCCAGCACTCTCATGATATGGTCTCACTTCGTCTTTGCAACACTTTGAGCATGTTATTAACAGCCCAATTTTAGAAATGAAGAAACGAGACTTCAAAGCAATTGGCAAATGGCAGAACTATCACTGAAGGCCAGGTGTCCCGCCTTTGGATCCCAACCCCAGACCGCTGTCTTTACAAGGTTCCAGATAAACACATTTGTGCCTGCCCACTTCCTGCTGCTCTCTCAGGAGCAAAAGGAGGAGGAGAAACCCCTTTTGCTCAGGCCTTCTCTGGAGAGCCAGGAGTGAAGGTCCAGTGAGTGTCAAACACAGTGGAGATGAAGCATTCTTTTTGTTTTATTTTCCAGTTTCCACCCAGACTCAACATGAGACTGAATTGTGTTTTTACAGCAAGATCCTTCTTCATATTTCAAATGAATGCTTTCACCATCTGTTTGTGATTTCTCTGTGGCAAATCTCTCAGTTCTCCCCTGAGAAGCGGCATTGTTTACCACCTCTTTGTCGGTCTTTTCCTCTACTGACTTTTACTCAACTTGTCTTCCAGAAGGTTCTGTCACAATACTTATAGAAAAATTCCTTTGTCCAGGATCCTGGGCTGGACCCAGGAAGGAATTTAGAGATGAGTAAGAGGTACTCTCACCTGCCAGATGCTTCCAGGCTAGTTAAAAAAAAAAAAAAGTGAAATGAGTCACCAGAGAGGGCTGCACTTTGTGGGAATTCAGAGGAGAGAAAGACTGAGGAGAATCGAGGGAGGTTTTATAGTAGAGGCGGAATTTGAGATGGGAATTATGGCTGATTAGTAGTTCCTCAGGCAACTGGTGGGGGAGCATTGGAGCTGAGGAATGCCAGCATGAGCAAGGCCTGGAGTGTGGAAATCCTTTGAGGCCAAATAGTGAGAAATGCAGCTCAGCTGGAACACAGGGAGTGGTGGCAGAAAAGGCTGGGAAGTATATTAAGACCATGTTCAGGAAGAGCTTACTTTAGCATATATCCTGAAAATGAGGATTTCTCACATAAACTACAGTACGGTTGTCCCGCCTAAGAAAAAAATTTTAACAAAATTCCATAATATCTTACCCAGGTCCTGTTCACATTTCCCCAGTGGAGAGAGTAAACTAAAAATATAATAAATGATTATGGGGGGAGGGTCCTGGTAAAGAACCGTAGCCACCAAACATATCTGTAATGATTTCTTTTTTAAAGCTTTGTCCTCATACTCCAATGTACATAAGCGTTAAAATAGGTCAGTGAACCCTGGAATGTTCTCGACCTTTTTCACCAAGCTTTCACATTTTGCCACATCCACTTTGTCTCCTGTTCCTGTTCTTTTTCTCTAAATGTCTCCTGTTCTGCTGGGGGCCAAATTCTTAATGTAGAACTTTAGAGACCAGCATTGAGTGGGCTTTCATCGGCAAGTGACCCAAAGGTAAAATCTACTCATTCTTTCAGATGTTTGCTGCGCACGTACCTTCTCTTCTGTCAGGGAACTCTGGATAAGGAAAAATGTCTGCAACATAGGTCATGTGTCCTGATACACAGCCCTGTTGCCAATGGCAACAGGTGACTTAGGGCCCAGGGCACTGGGTGATGCTTTCAGGGTGATATCACACTCCTTTTTTCAGTTTCAGAATTAAAGGCAGGAGTGTTCAGCACACACTCACAGCCCTTTGGAGCCTTTTGCCTTGAACCCTGTGGGGGCTGGAGAGATCGGGTGTGCCCCATTAACTCAAGACTGAGCTGACCATCCTTTCTGCCCCTTCCACCTAAAAAATGAACCATTCCCCCCCGGGCAAAGGAAGGGAGGAGTAGCAGGAAGGAAGTGAGAGAGGCGCTTACCACTTAAACAAGGTGGTTTTGCAACTAACTTTCTGGTAGAGGATGGTGTTTTGTTGGTGGGGGAGGGAGGGTTGGGTCAGGGAAGCCGTCGGACTCTGCATACCCAGGGCCAGGTGTTCGGTGAGGTGAAGTTAGACACACAGACGGACCTATGGCTGAACTGAGAAGGAAATAGACAGGTGCTCCTAGGGAAGGGAGTGGAACTGGACGAACAACAGTGGGTTTGTATTGAGTGCTCCCTGCAGGGTAGACTGGGAAAGCATGTCACTTAATCCTCCCAACAACTCCAGGAGATGCTTTCATCTTAGTGGGGGAAAGGGAGTTCTCTAACCGGAGGCTCAAGAGACGCATAGTTTTATTTGCCCAAAGGCTTACAGCAATAAGTGGAAAGGCCAAGGCAAGGCATATTCTGTTTGAGCCCTTGATCGTAACCACCCCAGAGAGAGCTCCGGAAGTGAGAGATGCCAACCCCGGGATTAAGAACGGAGACACATGGGTCCGAGGCTCTACATAGGGCCTCTCTCACTCCCAGGACCTGGGCACTTTTGCCTGTGATTCAGAGCCCTTCTCAGTGAGAAGGCAGTCTCCCTTTCTAGCTCCCTTACCCACCACTCCCCATAACACACTCTAAACCAGCCACACGGAGCCATCTCAAAAAACTGTGTGAAAATGGGTACTTCGCTGACTTTGTGTCTTTCCATTCTCCCGCTTTATACTCTATTCCAGTCTAGAAAAAACTTTGTGGTTTTTTTTAAGGCCTTATTTATTTATTTGAGAGAGGAGAGCATGAGCGAGGGGAGGGGCAGAGGGAGAGGGAGAAAGAGACTCCCTGCTGAGCAGGGACCCCCCCCCCCCCAAGGCGGGGCTTAATTTCAGGACCCTGGGATCATGATGGGAGCCAAAGGCAGACACTTAACCAACTGAGCTACCCAGGCGCCCTGTAGTTTAGCAAAATCTTAATTCAAGGCCCAGCCTGTTGATCCTCTCCTGTATCAGTCCCACTCTCCTTCCTGGTAGAAGTGTTGAGTATCTCTTTATTGGATACTGAGAAATCTAGGTGAATAAGGCAAGTACCCAATTCTCAAGGAGCCCACAGTTTAGTAGAAGGACACACAGCTAGATAAATACAAATAATAAAACAGTAATAGAAGTGTATGCAAGGTGGAGAGGTTGTGAGTACTTAGGAGGGAGTGATTAACTCGACAGGGTGAAGTAGATGTAGTTAAGCATCATAAAAGGATGTGGAATATGAGTTGGGGTTTTTACATCTTTTTTTGTTTGTTTGTTTGAGTCCTCTCTACAGCCAGCCTGGGGCTCTGAGCCAACCCTGAGCCTCCTGCAGGAAGGAGGACTAGCTCGAGGTGAGGCTTACTGAGGAGTCGGGTCATTGAGACCTGTCTGCGTACTGGAGTTTGAACTACAACTGATAGATAACATATGGGCATTTCATACAAAGCCATGGAGCAGACGAGTGGAGAATCGTGAGAAGGCGTTAAGCAGCACCATGAGAGGCCTGTGGGCAGATGAGAAACAGCGAGCACGGAGAACAAAGCGATGACAGACTGAAGGCAGGCAATGAAAGTTTTCAGAGATGGTCACAGTGTGGATTCGATGAAGGAAATGAGAGAGAAGTAGTTGAGGGCAACCCCCGAGATGCTTCCTTGGACCTGGGTGGGGGGTGTTAGTGGTGCCTCCTTCCAAACTGGGGGCTCCAGGTAGTAGAGCCTGGGCTTGCTTTCTTGTTTATAGGTGAGCGTCTCCTGGGAGACCAGGTGCTGTATCTTTTTCATTTCCCTGTCCTTTGCTTTACCACCGAAACTAGAGCGGTGGTTAGCTCTCAGGTTCACAGGGGAGAGGAGATAGACACGGAGAGCCTTCATTTCGAGCTGAGTTTCAAGTGTGTTTTATCAGTGTTCCTCATAGTTTTCCACAAGGGCCCTCCCAAGAAAAGAGTCTCCTTCCTACCTGCCTCTCTCACCTCATCTATCTAGAGGAATCTGTTGCTGTGGCTGGAAGAGGGTCTTGCAAGAGAAAAGTCTTCAAGGCTCCTGTTTTACCTTTAAAATTAAGCAATGCTTGGGTGCCTGGGTGGTGCCTTGGGTGCCAGTGGGTTAAGCCTCTGCCTTCAGCTCAGGTCATGATCTCAGGGTTTTGGGATCGAGCCCTGCATTGGGCTCTCTGTTCACTGGGGAGCCTGCTTCCCTCTCTCTCTCTCTATCTTTCTCTCTGCCTGTCTCTCTGCCTACTTGTGTTCTTTCTGTCAAATAAATAAAATGTTTTTTAAAAAATTAAGCAATGCACATTTTACATTCTTCTTATTAATCCTTATTTTAATGTAATACCCCCGCCAAAAAAACCCCACTCTAAATAACAAGTCATTCCTGGCATATATGCCCTATTTATTCCAGGCTTTATATATACCCCCAGCACACTACTATGTATCCCCACGTGTACCCCAATTTGAGAAGAACCACAAAATGTGATTTTTTTTTTTCGCGATGTGCTATATTTTTTATTCCATTGGGCTGGTAGGAATACAGCATCTGAGACTAATAACTGCATCTGAGACTCTGAGAAGCCAGAGTCCCATGAGGCCAACGGATGAGAAAGACTTGACTCTAGCCTGATGGACCTTTCCAACTCACATTCCCAGGTACTGCAGAAGTTGGGGAAAACTGTGGAAACCAAAGATGAACGGTTTGAACAAAGTGCCAACAATTTCTACCATCAACAGGTAATCTGGGACGGGTGGAGGGTGGGGAAGGGAGGCTTGGAGGAGGCAAGGAGACAGGAGGGCTGAATGGCAGAAGAAACAGCAGGTTCTGCAAATCAGCAGGCGCCCCTACTAAGCCATCCTCCCACCTCATCCCCCTGCCCAGGGCTAAGGGCTACAGGTGACCTGCTGCTTACCACTTTCCCTGGCAACCGGAGAAACTTCCCTTTCCCATTCCTGCTGACCTGGGTTTTGGGAGAGAGACAAGTGCTCTTATTTTCTTTTAATGGTCCCCCTGGCTACGGTGGGATCCCCAGGTCCTTAGACAAAGTTGCAGTGAACCCCTGTCCCCCTCTGTCTTTGGCTTACCACTTCCCCAGGGTGCCTGTTTCCCACCCTCCGGCTCTTCTCATCGGGGTAGCACCCTCTTTTCCTTGTTGCCTCTTTGTGTACTCCCTCTGCCTCACCTGAGCCCTTATTTCTAAAGAATCCCTTCGTCTTTCACCTGTCATTCTCCCCAACACACCTCCTGTTCTCCCTGTGCCTTCTGTCGTCGCCGGATACTACGGGTCATTTTATGTAGAAACTTCCATTCAGAAGTGAATGACAGGTTTGGCCTCCCAGGGGATATTTCACTTCCCGTCTCCACCTTCCAGGCATTGTGCTTGGTGCTTTAGGCACGTGATCTCATTTAACCATCACCTCAGTCCCGGAGGTTGCCGTCCCCTCTTTATCACAGAAGGGAGTCCTTCACTTACAGGACTATGCAGTTGTCATGCCGTTCAACCCCCACTCCGGGTTAGGTCCCAGCTCACAGGTTAGGGACAGAGTTGCCTGCTAGACTGATTCTCCTCAGACACCAGTCACACGCGCCCGAGCTCCCATGCCCCCTGCACTCCTGACCAGCGCTACAAATTTGGGGGTTCCTACTGGCAACTCAGCTTCCACAATCCATGACAACTGACAGAACTCAGGAAAGCGCTCTAGTTACAGTCACTGCGTTATTAGAAATGAATACACATCAGGACTAGCCAAGTGAAGAGACACATAAGGTGAGGCCCGGGAGAGCTCTGAACGAGAAGCTTCTGCGTCCTCAAGACCTGTCACCTTCCCTGCATGCTGCTAGAGGAACCGGGGAAGCTCACCAAAGCGTCAGTAGTCTAGAGCTTTTTTTATTGTGATTTCCTTACCTAGTGAATCTCTAGCCACATGATTGAATTTAATCTCTAGCTCCCATTCTCTCCCCTCTGCTGGAGGTCAAGCTGATATCACCTGTCTCAAAGCCCCAGCCCTCTAATCACATGGTTCATCTTTCCAGCCTGACCAGCCACCAGCTGACTCATTTGTTTAGCATAAACTGACTCTGATCTGAGAGGCCCACCATGAATAACAAACACATTCCTATCACTCAGGAAATTCCAAGGAGTTAGAAGTTACTTCGGAGTAACTGGGGACAAAGGCCAGCTAAATTCTTTATTGGACGGTATCAGGAAATTGAATTATATGGAAAATAATTCTCTAAAATTATATTAAAAGGACATTCACTATAATTCAGCAGTTGATTATATATTAGAATCACTTGGAAAACATATATGTATAATTTAGAGATTTTATTTATTGAGAGAGAGCATGAGCTGGGGGAGAGGCAGACAGGGAGAGGCAGACTCCCTGCTGAGCAGGGAGCCCCATTTGGATGTAGGGCAGGGCTTGATCCTTGGAGCCTGGGATCGTGACCTGAGCCAAAGACAGATACTTAACCAACTGAGCCTCCCAGGCGCCCTTTGGGAAATATTTTTACATGGGAGATGTCTGATAGTAGGGCTTGGGAATCTGTACTTTTAAACTTGTTGTAATGGAAGATTTCAAATATATGCAAAGATAGGAAAACTTGTATCATTAATCCATGTGTACATACCCATCTCTTAGCTTTAATAATTAATCAACTCATTTCTGTCTCCACCTACTTTCCCTCATCCTTGATTACTGTGAAGCAAATTCTATATATCCTATCGTTTTATCCAGAAAAATTTCATTATCGATCTCTAAAAATAAAGACTCTTTTAAAATATAACCACAAAGCCATTATCACACCTAAAAATATTTTCTCTGAGATATTTACTCCTTTCCAACAAACCGGAAAGGAGAAGAAAAACATGAATTAAAAATCCTGGTTTCGGGGCACCTGCATGGCTCAGTCATGATCCTGAGATGGAGCCAAAGCAGACCCCTTACCCGCCAGGAGCCTGCTTCTCCCTCTCTGTCTGCTCCCCCCCCACCCCCCTCTCACCATGTGTTCTCTCTCAAATAAATGAATAAAATCTTAAAAAAAAAAAACCTTATTTCACACCCTCCCATGCTACCACCACCGTTGTTTTATATCCTTACAGTCCCCCGGCTATGAGTGTGTATGATCTCTAAGTAAATCCACAATAGGTAGATAGTTTACCAAAGTGAGACTATTCCGTTGATACTGGTTTTATAACCTGCCGTTTTCAGTTAACAATATAATATAATATCCTTTCTGATACTCCACTAAAATGTAAGACTGAGTGATATTTTCAAAAAGTAGCACTAATTTTTTAAAAATGTTATTTATTTATTTGACAGAGAGAGAGGAATTACAAGTAGGCAGAGAGAGGGGGAAGCAGGCTCCCCGCCGAGCAGAGAGCCCGATGCGGGCCTCCATCCTAGGACCCTGAGATCATGACCTGAGCCGAAGGCAGAGGCTTAACCCACTGAGTGGTGCCCCAGTAGCACTAATTTCTTGATATAAAATATACAGTTAATGTTCACATTCTCCTAATGATGTCTTTTTTTTTTTTTTTTAGTTTAAATCAGCAACTTGTTGGAGTGTTTAAGTCTCTTAGGTTTAAAGTTAAATCTCTTCACCTGCGACTTTCTGATCCCTCCCTCTTTGCAGTTTGTTTGTCACTGACACTAGATTGTCCTCCCGAAGTTTCCTGCAGCCTCAACTTGATCGATTAGGTCCTCAGAGTAAGGTTTAGCCTGCTCGCTTGGTTCTGGTATTTTCTATAAATTCATAGATGGGTTTAGAGGCTTGATGAGATTCAGATTTTTGTTTTTGTTTGTTTGGGCGGCAAGAATACTTGGTATTTTTATAGGCCTGAGAGTTTTCCACCTGGAGGCACATGATGGCTGCGTGTCTCCTTGTTTTGTGGGACATGAACAGCCTTGGTTGATTATTAACTAGGGAGGCTGTGTTTTATATTAACTTTCCAGGTAGTGACGATGTAGTAGCGAGTCTGAGAACAGCATTTGGCAACCAGCGGTTCAGTCAAACTGGGGGGGGAGTAGGATCTGAGAAGGAGGTGGTTTAATCAAGGTAAAAGCCGTAGAACTGCCGAGCTGGGATTCCAACTTAAACCCTTTGCTTTTCCCCCTGCACCTCACTAGGAGGCCTCCGTAGGCCTCTGCTCAGTGATTGCTCGGTTCTGCTTCTAACTGCAGCGTGAAAAGAACAGGAATTCATAAGTCAACACCCACATTGAAAGCTTTCTGACTCTTGACTCATTCTGCACCTCGGTCTTTCCTCTTCCTCTCTGCCTTAAAGGATGGATCTGCCAATGGCAGGTGTGTGGGCAGAAAGGATAGGAGATGAAGGAAAGCCCATCAAGAAGAAGAGGATAGGATATTGACAGTCCCCTCAGAATTTCCTGGGCGAGCCCACCACCTGAAACACTGGAAGGGAGCAGAGATGGATTTGAGAAATGAAATAGAGGTTGAATAGGAATAAGGGAAAGTTTTCTTCTGAGTGGAGGATTAGTAACTGGTATTTGAGCTTGCGTGGAAAGGTCACTTCACAAGCGTGTCACGGGGGCCTGCTACACGCCAGGGACTGGGCTAGATTTTGGGACTCCAATGTGAATAAGATAACACACCTGCCCTCAGGCTCTCACAGTTTAGGAAGAAAGACAAAAACAATACAGCCCAGTCTGAGACTGGACCTGGGATGGCTAAGACAAACAGGAGGGGAAAAGACAAGGTCAAGGAGATTGAAAGTGAAGTATTCCAGAAGGTGGACCAGTTAGTTAGTCATGTGCCCAGGGCCTTACCGCAATCAGCTTGTAGGTAAACTTTTCATTAATAAGTAAATATCACTCCCAAACTTCCCAGCCTGATTTCAAGACCTTGCCATTTGCCTGGGTTCCTAACCAAATTTCCATAGGTAAGTTTTCCTTGTGGGCTCTGCTTGGCTGCTTCCTCAAACCATATTAAATAAGAAGAATTGTTTTCCACAAGCAGCATTTTAATCTCTTATTTTTGGTAGTGACAGCTGCTTCCAAGTCATTGCATTCAAAATCAAACCTAGGGCGCCTGGGTAGCTCAGACCATTAAGCATCTGCCTTTGGCTCTGGTCATGATCCCAGGATCCTGGGATTGAGTCCCACATCGGGCCCCTTGCTCAATGGGAACCTGTTTCTCCCTCTCCCTCTGCCTCCTCCTGCTTGTACTCTCTCTCTCTTTGTCAAATAAATAAATAAAATCTTTAAAAAAAATAACAGAATAAAATAAAACCTAATGGGGCACCTGGGTGGCACAGTCAGTTAAGCCTCTGACTCAATTTTGGCTCAGGTCATGATCTCAGGGTCTTGAGATCAAGCCCCACATTGGGCTCCATGCTCAGTGGGGAGTCTGTTGGAGATTCTCTCTCTCACTCTGCCCCTCCCCCAGCTTGTGCATGCTCTCTCTCTCTTTCTCTCTCAAATAAATAAGTAAATAAAATCAAACCAGCTTCTTGTCTCCCTTCTGGACCTCCATCAAATTAAGCACTTTCAGCACTCACTCAGGATTGGTCATGCTACTAGCTGCTTTGCTGAGTGTTTGGATTTCTCTGAGTCTGTTTCTCTCCAGCAAGTGGGGGAACCCCAGGCCAAGGACTCTCTCAGCATGTAGCTTTGTCTGCCTACGTGCTTAGGACAAGCTTCCAGAGGGAGTGGTCCATTAATTGAGGGCTGAGGTTGTCTGCATAAGGGGGAGGAAGGCCCAACTCAGACTCTTCATGGGGCTGCCAAGAATTTGGCAAGGATTCAGAGAGCCAAAGTGATAAAATCATAAGCTACAGGCGTAGAAATGGTCTTACCCAACATTTATAGAGGAGGAAAATAAAGCCAGAAAAGTGGAATAACTTGCAGGGTTTTGACTCCCAGACAAGTGGGAACACAAGACTAGGAAAGTTGTATCTGTCAAGAAAGAAGAGAGATGCTGGGCAACCTGGAGCCATTTGGGGGCTGGGAGACAGGGACAGAGAGGCCAGCAAAATAAGAGGATATCCAGTGGTGCCCCACTTCCCGCTACCATTACACACACACACACACACACACACTCACACTTCATCTCTTCAAAGGAGAGAGCAAGAACATAAAGAACTTGGACCTACAAGTTTGATCCAAAAACAGAAATACAGTTGGGCTTCTGTGAGTGCAGGGGAAGGCAGAAGGCATTCATGTTTTATGGACTCTGGTATTGATAGAACCCCCTGGTTTTGCACAGCGGACACACAACCTCCATAGTCATGCACGATAGCCTTGATTACCGATCCAGTTTTTCAGGCCACATAATATCTAATGGGAGAAAAACAATTTTGATTTCATTTGTAGAAATCACGCAAGATGGTTTAACAGCTTTTATTACTTATATGTGTATTTTGGAGACCAAATCTTCATGGTGAAGTAAAAAGTTGAGCCCACATTCTTTTCTTTCAAAAAAGCACTTCAAGGGGTGCCTGGGTGGCTCAGTGGTTTAAAGCCTCTGCCTTCAGCTCAGGTCATGATCCCAGGGTCCTGGGATCGAGCCCTTTGTCAGGCTCTCTGCTCAGTGGGGAGCCTGCTTCCTCCTCTCTCTCTGCCTGCCTCTCTGCCTACTTGTGATCTCTGTCTGTCAAATAAATAAATAAAATCTTTTAAAGAAAGAAAGAACGCACTTCAAATCCTTGTTAATTTTTATAATCCTCAGAACTCCCTCCAACTTTGGCTATCAGATTTTTAAAACTCTTAAACTTATACCCACCTACCAGATCCAGGTTTAAAAGATTTTATGTACATTGAACATCTTAGACTGTTTAAACTTTTTTTCCCATGAATGAACAAGCAAAGAGGAAATGAAACATCCTTCCTGGCGAATGCTGAGTGTTTCTGAATTTTGGTGACTGACTGTCTCCGTTGTGCTATTGAAAGTACTTCCTTAAGGTCACCAGTGACCTCCAGTTACCAAGTCCAATGACTGTGACTGGTTCTTCCTGGACTCTAACCTCTCTGTAGCATCTGGTCCCTCCTTGGTCATTCTCTGACGCTCTCCGGGTCCCCACTTGCTGTGACACCCCACACAACATCGGTTCTTCTCCCACCTCTCTGACAGTGTCTTCAACTCCCTTGAGTCTGCTTAAGGGTTGGTGTCCCTTGAGCCCTTGCATTCAGCCCCAAGGACTTTTAACCTGAGGTATGGTCAAGTGTTTGGACTGGCTTAGAAGTGAGGCAAAAAGATGGACAAAATAATTGTTCCAATTTTCTTTGACCTAGTTGACCTAGATTTTCTGCAGCTGAATTTACATAATAATGATCTTTCCTGCCAAGATTTCCACAGGGGGAAAAAATACATATTCTTAAGATTTATTTATTTGAGGGACACCTGGGTGGCTCAGATGGTTAAGCGTCTGCCTTCAGCTCGGGTCATGATCCTAGGGTCCTGGAATCGAGCTTTGCGTCGGGCTCCCTGCTTTGGTGGGGAGCCTGCTTCTCCCTCTCTCTCTGCTGTTCCCTCTGCGTGTGCTCTCTGCTCTCTCTGTCAAATAAATAAATAAAATCCTTTAAAAAAAAAGATATATTTATATAAGAGAGCTGTGGGGGAGGGGCAGAAGGAGAGAGAGAACCCCAAGCAGACTCCCCACAGAGCACGGAGCCCAATGTGGGGCCAATCCCACAGCCTATGACCTGACCTGAACCAAAACCAAGAGTCAGACACTTAACCAACTGAGCCCCCCGAGTGCCCCCCCACAGATAAAAAAAATCTTAAGTTGTTAGGTAGAATTTTCTGATTTTCAGTTTTTTGCCCATAAATTTTTTTAAACTGTTGGTTTGCTCACTGAACCTATCTAGTGCTGAACACAAGCAAATAAAACAAATGAACAAGTTCATAAGTGCTTTATGGTACATGCATAATACATCTTAACTTAAATACTCCTTCCCCGGAACTGGTGTGAGGATCACTATTAGGACCCATCGGCCCTGCCCTGTGGCTTGCCTTTCAGTGGGCTGCCTCTTTCAGTCCAGGCCCACACTCCAGAAGTCACGCTCCAAATGTCAATGGTCTGGCCTCAAACTCCCTTCTCATACAACTTCTAGAAACTGGAGTCCACACAGAGGAAAGAGAATCAGAAAAGGCTTTAAATAATGCTAGGAGCAACAACAAAGGGAGCCTATGAAAGACAGGACTCAGTGCAGGGTCTGGAAAAGATGTCTTCCAACATGTGCAAGAGATACCAGATCTGCTCTGAGTACAGAAGGCCAGCCTGAGAGCAGTGGGCCAGAATTGTAGCAGAGCTATTTAAAATTGAAGCACAGGGATGCTGCCTGTGTCTCAGTTGGTTAACTGTCTGCCTTCGGCTCAGGTCATGATCCCAGGGTCCTAGGATCAAGTCCCGCATCGGGCTCCTTGCTCAGGGGGAACCTGCTTCTCCCTCCGCCTACCACTCCCCCTGCTTGTGTGCTCTCCCTCTCTCTCACACATGAATTAAATAAATAAATAAATAAATAAATAAAATATTTATGAATAAATAAAATCGAAGCACAACCTTCACAAGAGGTCATGAGTTTCTGGTCGCTGGCGGTATTCAAGAAACAGAAGCTAAATGGTCATTTATTTGTTAGAGTTAAAACAAAAGTGGTTCATCTGTTGGGTTGGAGATTTTAATGTCCAAACTTGAGTGATACCTTCCTCTTCTTTTCTCCCTTCTTCTTCATTTTCCAGGGAGGAGAGCTAGGCTGTGCTTGTGAGACCCAGCCTAAAAAAAATTGAGAATTGAAACACAGGAGCGAAGATAAGGTTGGGTAGACAGAGCTATAGATGAGGCCATCGGAGTTGAAACAGGAGGAGAATCAGTGATGAGCCATTTGGAAAAGAAGTGTAAAGCACGTGACTGATGGAAGGGGAAGGTAAAGGGAGGCAAGGCAGAGAAGGATGTCAGGGGGAGGAGAAGAATGGCCTGTGTGGGGGTTCAGGGGAGGAAGAATGCCGAGTATCTACAGAAGATAGTAGCAGATTACTTACCCAGAGAGGAAGGTGTAAGCCAGAGGATCGCATAGATACAGTCACGTAGGACACTTAAATTTCAGCAGAGGACCTGGGGTATAGGCTTTTGTTCACTAGAAGAGAGAACAGAGGCAAGAAGGCCTGCCAGTGCCATAGGAACAATCTCCAAACAGAAACTGCCCCCAAAAAGACAGCCTACAACTTCTGGGTAAAGAGAACAGAGGCTGATTTTATACCATTTGCAAATTCCAGGACTGATTTCTGCTTCTAACCTAACTTCTCTATCTTGACCTCTAAAGCATCTCTCCAAATGTATCTCTTTGGTCACCAAAAGCACTTTTCCCTTCCAGGCAGAAGGCCAGAAGCTCTACAAGGACCTGAAGAACTTCCTTAGTGCAGTCAAAGGTGGGTAGTGTGTCACACAGGAGAAGTGAGCTTCTGAGGGCTCTGGGGATGGAAAGAAAAACAACCATTTTCGGACATTTTATCACTTGCCTGCCCCTCATGCCCACAACTCGTGGGCATAGGAAGAGCGGCCTTTCCTGTCCCAGCCCCCCCAGTTTTCCTCACGGATCACCCAAACCTTCTGGGTATGCATCCTTTGGAGAGGACCCGCTGGTCTGCCTGTTCACTCAGATGGTTACAACAGCCTCCCTCGGGGGAAGGTATGGTAGGACCGACTTCTGTCCTTTCAGTGATGCATGAAAGCTCGAAGAGAGTGTCAGAAACCCTGCAGGAGATCTACAGCAGCGAGTGGGACGGTCACGAGGAGCTGAAGGCCATTGCAGGGGTAAGAGCGTCCTGGCTTTAGAGCTCTTCTGCACTCACCCCTGCCCTCATCTCAGCCTTCTCTTATCTTCTCCGTCCGAGCAAACAGGAAAGCAAAGGAGCCAGTCTGAACCCCTCATGTGTATAGCCTCAGTCAGGGGTGGTAGCACAAAGCAACAACCGTGAAGGTAAAGACAAGTGTTCCCTGGTCTGCGGATGCCTCTGCGGTCGGCCATCTTCCCCTCCTTAAAACCTTACAGAAGCTGTACCTACATAAAATCCAACTGGTTGTCTTGGAAAACTAACTTCATGCAGTTTTTTCTTCCCAAATTTCCCTGTCCTTCAAGCTCTAGAGTCCAAGACGCTGACCGCCTTCTCCTTTTCTTGTCCCTGAATGTATGGCCAGGCTGTTACAGGGCAGTTCCTAGGGGCAGGGCTGGTTCTTCATCTGACCCTTTGCCAGAACCCAACATGACATTCTAAACACAGCGCTCCAAAAAGGCAGTTTGCTGCAGGAAGGATTTGGGTTTTCCTTGGTATCCAGTTGTTGCCGAGAAGCGGGGCCCTCACCTCTGCCCTCTGCCCTCTGCCCCACAGAATAATGATCTTCTTTGGGAAGACTATGAAGAGAAACTAGCCGACCAGGCTTTGAGGACCATGGAAAACTACGTAGCCCAGTTCAGCGAGATTAAGGTAATCAGTTTCAGAGTCGAGGGGGGCCCCCAGAGGTAAGAGGACATACGGGTCAACATCCTAAGTAGAGTTCAAGCCCACGGTTAGGAATGAAGCTTAGGAAAAAAGATTTAAAAATCAGGGATTGGATAGGAGGGTTAGGGTAGAGGGTTAAAGGTGTCAAGGGCATGTTTGTTTATTTATTTACTTATTTTATATATTTGTATATATCCATATATATTTTTTTAGTGATGTTCAACAAGTTTATTTATTTATTTATTTATTTATTTATTTTTAAGATTTTATTTGTTATTATTTGACAGAAATAGCAAGGGAGGAAACATAAGCAGGGGGAGTGGGAGAGGGAGAAGCAGGCTTCTTGCTGGGCAGGGAGCCTGATGGGGGGCTCGATCCCAGGACCCAGGGATCATAACCTGAGCCGAAGAAAGACACTTAATGACTGAGCCACCCACGCACCCCAAGGGCATGTTTAGAATTAAGTTTCAGTGAACTAGATCCGAGTGGGTTTTGAATTAGATCCAGGTCAAGGCACCCATTTTAGTGGTGAAAAGAAAAAATAGCTAATAGGGATGCCTGGGTGGCTCAGTTGGTTAAGCGGCTGCCTTTGGCTCAAGTCATGATCCCAGGGTCCTGGAATCGAGTCCCACATGGGGCTCCTTGCTCAGCGGACAGCCTGCTTCTCCCTCTCCCTCTGCCATTCCCCCTGCTTGTGCTCTCTCTCTCTGACAAATTAGTAAGTAAAATAAAAAAAAAAAAACAGCTGATATGCGGGTCAAGTTAAGTGAGTTAAAGTGAGTTAAAGCCTCTGCCTTCGGCTCAGGTCATGATCTCAGGGTCCTGGGATTGAGCCCCGCATCGGGCTCTCTGCTCAGCAGGGAGCCCGCTTCCCCCTCTCTCTTTGCCTACCTCTCTGCTTACTTGTGATCTCTGTCTGTCAAATAAATAAATAAAATTAAAAAAAAAAAAACAACAGCTTATATGTTTATTGTAGAGAAGAGGAAACGGAGGAATCATGAGTCATAACAATTATCTTCCAGTACTGGGATGTCTGTTAGGTGAAAGAGGGATGCAGCCTGTTCTAAATGGTTTCAGAGAGCAGAGTTAGAATTCATTGATTCGTTCAACTCAGATTTATGAAGCTTCTACCCTGTCAGGCACTGCACTGCTTATAGATTCATATGGAGAAATTAGAGGGATCCTGACTTAAGTTTCTCATAGAGCTTTCAAACACTGAAATATACTGTGAAGTTGGGAGTTGAAGTTCAACTTCAAGCAAAAGTTGAACTACTGATTTTGAGTATTACAGAGAAGCTCCATGTATGAAATAGGAAGTTGGACCAGACGATCACTAAGATCCTTGCAAAATCTAGGATTGGATTTGTAGTTCGGATGAGACTGCGTAGATGCTCTCTCAGTGTACACCGTAATTTACCACTTTTATTACGCTTTAGGGTTTTCAAAGCACTTTGTAGTCAGCGTTTGATCTTTAAAGTAACACTGTAGAGCAGATGAGGCTGCTGAAGTTCCAGAAGAGATGTGACTTGCCCTCCGGCACAAGGCTAATAGGTGGCAGCATTGGGAGTTAAGACCCCCATCTCCTGACTTTGAATTCAGCTGGATCCTCAAGGCCATTGCTCCTGGAGGCCGAACCCATATTTTTAGTGGGTTCATAGGAAATATTAACATTTAGTGCAGGCTTCCACGAGCTCTGTAGGATTTCCCTCTCTCTTCCCATCCCCGCTGCCATCAGCAATGAAAATCCCCATTCTTTCCAAATAGCGAGAGAAATTCCATGGGCTCCAAGCTGTTAGAAAGTGAAATTTGGTAATAGGACCCAGTTTGTTTGCTACTCTGTTAACCTGCATCCCGGCTGCTGAAAAGTGAGTATCAAGGCCCTCTCTACTGACTCTGGTTTAGGAAAGAATTGCCAAGCGGGGTCGGAAACTTGTGGACTATGACAGTGCCCGACACCACCTGGAGGCGGTTCAGAATGCCAAGAAGAAAGATGAGGCCAAGACTGCCAAGGTAAAAAAAAAAAAAAAAAAAAACCACAAAACAAAACAAAACGGTGAAACCTTCCTGCCCTCTCTCCCCTCCGTAACAGTGGCAAGTCACTGGGCCAAGCCGGGTTTAGGAAATGATAAATTCAGCATCCAGCGTCCCAAACGAAATCCTGTTTTCCCTGACACCAGTGCTCAAAGGACAGTCAGAGATGCCAAGGCTGGGGAGGGCTTGGGTCTGGGGAGGGAGAGGTGTGGTTGCAAGTAAGCCAAGTCCCTAAAAAGAATGCAGGGAAGATAGGCGGCCGCCTCAAGCCTCAGATTCCAGATTGAGGGAATCTGTCCTGTCTCTTTTACCCCCCCAGGCAGAGGAAGAGTTCAACAAAGCCCAGAGTGTGTTTGAAGACTTGAACCAGGAACTGCTGGAGGAGCTGCCTGTTCTTTATCACAGGTAATGGTTGACAGTCAGGAAAAGGCCTAGACTTCTGGGCCAAGGGAGGCCCAGGTTACCTGGCAACCCAAGCATGTCACCTCATGAAAAGAGCTCTGTTCCCAAAGTGGGATGTTGCCTCAGCCCTGCTACTGGCTGGCTGGGAAATATGAGGCAAATGGCCTTATCGCCCCAGACGCTGGTTTCTTCATCTGTAATACAGAGATAGCCGTGCTTGGCCTGCCAGCTTTTCCGGTTTCAAGGCAAGATGCTTATCGGCTAGGAGTGATCTTGGCAAGTCAATTACTGTCATCATAGGAACTAGGAATATCTGGTTCATGCTTCAGTGTATATTGTTTTAAACGAGCTTGGTTCTTGAACATCCAGATTAATCTAGAAGATAAACCACGGGATGATTATTTCTATTAATGATATCTTTGCTGCACAGAAGGTAAAAGTGTTTTAGATGTATCTGGGTAGAAATTCTGTTTGTATCCTATTTTCGTTGTACAAGATATACTGCAATGTAGCTGTAGTCAGTATTTTATGTTGCCACTTAATATTATTCTATGTATGATGGAGCCTTTTAAATAACTACATGTATATTCAAACACTACTTATGTGACTCCTGATTTAAATAGCACTGAAATTTAATACAGTTTCTTTAAATGTAAACTGCCCCAATTCATTGATAGTAGAATTCCACTAATGTGCACACCACTCCATAGCAGTCCAAGTAGTGCGTAACGAGAAAGAATAATTATTTATTATAACAATTATTATCGCACGGCCTTATATTTAGAGCGCACTTTTAAAAGGCCTCAGAGTACTTTCATTCATATCTACTTTAATACCTAAAGAACCTGAATCAAGAGAGTTCATGCAACTAGAGGTCTCTCCTACCTTGCTGTCAGACTGGACTGATAAGTGTCTTCTCTGACCTTCCCACCCTCTTCCAAGAGTCAAGTGTGCTCCTGGCCTGGCTTGACAAGTCCAGATTCCAGAACATCCTGAGTCTAGGGTATGGGGGGTGCTTTTCTCTGAGGATCTTGGTGTTGGCAGGTGTTGGCTTAAGCTTCTACCTTGTATTTCAAAAGGTTTCCTTTACTAACCTTACCCGGATGTGTCGTTGTGGGTTTTTTTGTTATTGTTTTATTTTTTGTTGTTGTTTTTTGGGTTTTTTTTGCCTCCTGACAGTCGTATTGGATGTTATGTGACCATCTTCCAAAACATTTCCAACCTGAGGGACGTCTTCTACAGGGAGATGAGCAAGGTGAGAAACCTCCGGCCAAGTTAGACACCTAGGTGGGTTTTTCTAGGAATAGGAAAGTAGCCCTAATGTACATAATCACATTAAATATTGATCGTAGCACCCCAGGTTTGAGCCCTCAACTGACCGTGTTGAACTGTGTTAAAGCACAGGTGTACACATCAGAGGGCCCTCCCTGTCTCCATGAACAACTGAATAATGACAACCAGATTTGACCTTCAGATAAATAAAGGAGGTTAGGCCTGTGGAAGGAAGAGCTGAAATGCGGAACCAAGCTGTGAAATCTTTATCTTATGTTGCTAGGGAGCAAAGGGGGCAGTGTTTAAATACAGGTCAGTCTCTCAGGTAGCTGGGCATGAATGGAGAAGGCCAGTCCTGTTCAGTGAGAGGCAGCCCCAGAACACTACCTCATGGGGCCTTTTCTAGTCCCAGGTTTCTGAGACTCGGTTCTGTCACAATATTAATTAAATCCATGTACACATTCACATATCCCTCTCCACACTTGCTTTAGCTAAATAATGGCTTGCCTCGTTAATATTTCTTCCCTGGACTACCTGAGAGAAGCTAGAACCTCAACTTAAACATCAAACATCAAGGACCCAGCCTTGAGAGAGCCGCCCGTCTGACAGAAGAGGCAGAACTTAAGACACAGTCCAGGAAGAAGGGGCATCAGGCAGGGTCCTGGACACTAGTGCCAAAGAGTTGAGGGGGAATTTTATAGTTAAGGGTGGGGAGGGTATTGTTTTGGGAACTGTGTGAAAGGGAGAGAAGGGATATGTCTGTCTCAGGTCCCCATGGCTAGCGACCCCACCCGTCTCTCTTGCTGGCTGTAGCTGAACCACAGTCTCTATGAGGTGATGAGCAAACTGGAGAAGCAACATTCCAACAAAGTCTTTGTGGTGAAGGGAGTATCCAGGTGAGCAACTCCTCTGAGACTCCTTGCTCCTTCGTGTCTCCTGTCAACATACGCAGCACTCTCGCTGTACCCAATCCTGGCCTTCCCTTCGTGTTCACGTCCATGATATTGTTAGTTATTTGTATTATGGCTCTATAAAAATCCTTTTTCTTTGTGTGAACTATTTCAGCGATCACTAAAGGTATAAAGAACGATGCACTAAAAAAGAATACAATAAGTAGCCATACAGCTGTCACCCAATCTACGAAATCAACTATCCTATGTACTATTGAAGTCCCCAGTATCCTCCTCCCCACCCATCCTGCCCCCTCATCTAAGGTAACCGTTGTCTTAAATTCAGTATCTGCTTTTCCCATGCTTTTCTTTTTACTTTTTGACACACATATATACCCACAGAAACTACCGTTTTGCATGTTTTTAAAATTTATAAAATGGAATTATACTGCGTACGTACCTCTGCAACTCCTTGTGCTCTCTCTGTACTCTGTGTGAGGGTCGTGGGCCCTGCTGCTGCACGTTGCCAGCTCTGGTCTTTCCTTTCCCGGTTATGGATGCTGTTGTGAAGCTAGTCTACAATTTATTTATCCATCCTCCTGCTCATAGACATTTGGGTGGTTTTCCAGTTTCCTGCTCTTACAAATAATTTTGCAATGGACACATTTTACATGGCTCCTGTGACTGTTACCGAGAGTGTCTTTAGGGCGTGTACTGGGAGTGGAGCTGCTGAGTCACAGGCCATGCAGCTGGGCCTCTTCAGCCTTACTAGACATTGGCATTGTCCTGCAGCTTTCTGAAGTGCCCAGTTTATAACCCACCAGCAGCAGATAAAAGCCCCTGTTGCTCCATATTCTTGCTACACGTGACCTTGTCAGATTTACTAATTTTTCCAAACTAAAAGATATGAAATGGATTTTTTTTGCAACTTTCATTCATATCTCCACAATTGCTAGCTAGCTTGAACTTCTTTCCATGTTATTGGCCATTTAGGGTTCCTTCCTGGGGCCTTCCTGTTTATCCTTGTTTTCACATTTTTCATTTAGATTGTTTATCTTTTTAAATTTTTTTAAAGATTTTATTTATTTATTTGTCAGAGAGAGCGAGCACAGGCAGAGGGAGCAGCAGGCTCCCCGCTGAGCAAGGAGCCCAATGCAGGGCTTGATCCAAGGACTCTGGGATCATGACCTGAGCTGAAGGCAGAAGCTTACCCAACTGAGCCATCTGGTCATCTCTAGATTATTTACGTTGTTTTTTTTTGTTTTTTTTTTTTTTTTATTTATAGAACAATTCAGTCGTCCTTTAGAATGTGATCACTTTCTCATTCTGAAGCCTTTGCTCAGGAAGATTTAATTTCCTACTACGTACAGGGTTTTATGCTGAGAGTTAGGGATCCAAAGACATAGGAGATGTGTCCTTTGGGTGATTTACCAAAAGTTGGAAGGGCAGGAAGTGTACCTAAGGAGACAAGGAACAATATAAGTTTGCCCATACTAAGTACCTGATGAGACCAGCAGGAATTCCAGAGAAGAAGGTACTTGCCATCATATGGATGGTCAGGGAAGACTTTAAAAGGAGGTGGTGAAACTGACCTTGGGACTTGAAAGAAGAATCAGGCTCATATTTGTTATTAGTACTATTCATTTAGCAATTTGTTATAGACTATTAAAAATCATCACTGAAGGGTCAATGTAGATTTTCTAGATGAATTCCCTTTTGCTCTAAAAAATTCTGTTTCTCCTTTTCCCAGCATTAAAAGCCAGAGTTCTTTCTGTCTCTTCATCTGAAACCTACTATCATTTAAACCAAGATGTCCCAGAACCTTGTAGGGAAATCTGGTTTTTTTCTTGCTATGTCCTGGGCCTTCTAAACCTACTGACTCCAAGAATGCTAGTGCTAGAAGGAACCTCTGTCACTCAGCTTATCTCACGTCAGAAACTCCCACAAGGCAGGAACTAAGTTTCTCTCTCTCTCTTCCTATGCCTGTCTCCCATCCTTGTGCCCACATAATTGGTACCTGTCAAGTAAATATTTGTGGGTTGCTTAATCCGCTTGTGGACAGTAAGTAGGAGGCACCTGAGCAGGCGAGAAGGAGACAAGCTGATGTTGACTGTAGAAGCACTCAGCCCGGTATCCAGCATACTTGATAAACGTTACAGTCAATTTCATTATCCGTGGTGCTCGTGTTCTATAAAGTAATGGCAAGTACCAGATTCATGAATACTGAACCCTTGCTGCTAAGGGAAACACAGCGTTAGGTTCCTATGAGTTTCTGCTCCCAGCGTCTTCATCAGCCAATAAATACATAACCTCATCTCGTGTGTGTTTCTGTTTAAACACACCTTATTTGCTACATATTGCTGGGGTGCCTGCGTGGCTCAGACGGTGATGCATCTGACTCTTGATTTCGGCTCAGGTCATGATCTCAGAGTTGTGGAATCGAGCCCCAGGTCAGTCTCTGTGCTCAGCGTTGAGTCTGCTTGAGATTCTCCTCTGCCTCTGCTTCTCCCCCCTCTTGTGCTCACTCTCTAAATAAGCAAATAATATATATCATTGATTCCTTCATATTGAACTTCTAGCCAACAGCGCCATAATTCATGCTGGAGGGAAGCTTCTCTAACGTGTTCTTTCTCTGTAAGGCATGTCACAGTTTTCTGGCCCTGAGCACTTTAGTGCTATACTTGGAGACAATTTTAAACAAGAGAATCACCAACAAAAAGCACAACAATGTGAAAAACATGGCCAGATGGACACATTTGCAGTGTAAGAGCCGAAACATGGCAGAGGATTGCCATCTTAGACCTCAGCTGGGAAAGTGCTCGTCTAGGCACTCATCTTTCAAAGCTCGTGTATGTCCGCAGCTCGCTGCAAAGGCATCATGAGAATTAATTTTGGAGTTGCACATAGGTTTTAGGGAGGAGGTGAACTTGCAAATACAGAATCCGCAAGGACCAACTGTATATCTATCACCCAGGGAATCCTTCCCACAGAGAAAATATTTTGTCGGTGTTTTGCTGTGTTTTTTTTCTAGTCTTGTTTTCTTTATATTTTTTATATAATTGAGATCGTGATATGGATAAAATTTTATAGCCTTTTTCTCACCTTATGAAGGATGATTGCGAGGTACACAGACTTTCTCATACGTTGCTCTGTTGTGTCTTATTATTACATGCGCGCCTCGTTATTTATTCGAGGTGTTGGGTTGCTTCCAGTTTTGAGCTCTCCTGAATCCAACGCTTGTTTTTTCAGCAGCAGCAGACGCTCTCTAGTCATTTCTTCCCCAGTTCACACGTCTGCAGTCTCCAGCCCCCTGACCTCACCTACCAGTCCCTCTGCACTTTCTTTGAAGAATGAGAGGGAGTCCATCTCTGCCAGTGACGAAGAGCTGGCATCCGATCTGGCCCCAGGAGAAGAGGATTCTGAGATTAAAGACAAGGAGACGGAGGAGGAAGAGTCGGAAGCCAGCTCCTCTGAGGAGGAAGAGTCCCTGCCAGCTTGCAACGGTCCCGCCCAGGCCCAGCCCTCTCCCGCCACTGAGGCCGGCAGGTCCCAGGAGGAAGTTCTCCCTTGCTCGCCCTCTCCGTCCCCAGGCAGTACCCTTACCCCCTCAGAGCAGCCCTCCTCTCTCCCAGAAGTAGTCCTCCGAACCCACACCTCAGGTGAAGGAGCTGAACAACCAAAGAAGAGAACCTCCATCCAGAGGACCTCAGCACCTCCAAATAGGCCTCCTCCACCCAGAGCCACTCCCAGCCCCCGGCACTCCTCAGGGAACATACCCTCCAGCCCTCTAGCCTCTGAGCAGGGCTCACCTGCCAGTCCTGGGGCCTTCTTGGGGGCTGGGACTCCAAGTCCTAGGACCTCTTTAGAGGTTTCTCCTGACCCACAGCCACCAGAAAAGCCAGTAAGAACTTCTGAGGCCAGAGAAAAGGAAAGCATCAACAATCTGAATCCAGAAGAACTTTGTATTTCCCCTACCTTGATGTCTGAGGTGAGATTGGATCTCGTTGAGTCCTTTTTTTTTCTTTCTTGAAGAGTTTGAATTATTTATTTGAGAGAGAAAGCACAAGACGGGGGATGGTCAGAGGGAGAAGCAGTCTCCCTGTGGAGCGGGGAGCTCAATGTGGGGCTCAATCTTGGGACTCTGGGATCATAACCTGGGCCCAAGGCAGACACTTAACCAACTGAGCCACCCAGGCTTCCCCTTTATTCCCTTTTAAAACCACCATATATATCATCTTTACTATAGTCAGCTTGTCCCAGGTGATAAGATCTTATGTCATTAGATTCCAGGGTTGTTTTTTTTTTTTAAGACTTTATTTATTTATTTATTTATTTGAGAGAGAGAGAGAGAGAGTATGAGAGGAGAGAGGGTCGGAAGGAGAAGCAGACTCCCCACTGAGCAGGGAGCCCGATGCGGGACTCAATCCTGGGACTCCAGGAGCATGACTTGAACTGAAGGCAGTTGCTTACCAACTAAGCCACCCAGGCGTCCCTAGATTACAGTTTTAAGGGCATTCCTGTACCTCTTTTGGTTGTGGGGATTGTTTCATATATTCATAGCAACGAATTCAGTGCCATGTACTCTTAGGGTAGTTGACTTCTGCACAGGATTATCTCTAATATTATTATTAGGAGCAGAATCTTGCTAATTTCTTTCTTTTGGTCCAAATTCGGGGAGTTCCAGTGTAAAGAATCTACAGCTGGCATCCTGAGCTTTACCTTCTTTAGTTGGGAGGGTGGGGAGGAGGGTCTCATTTCAGTTTGTCATATGACTACGGTAAGCAAAATGGCAACTGCAAATTTCTGAGGTCTATCTTCTTTGATGAGAGAGGCATCCTAGAAGAAGGAACTCACAGGGGAGGGTAAAGCAAAAGGGATGGCCTTTTGAAAGGTGAGGATATGGATGAGAAAAGGATTGTGTTAAAATAGAGACAGAGATCCCGTGAAGAGCAACCAGTTCTGTGAAGGATTGGGAAATCAAGTCGTATTCTATTCAAATTGCATGGAAAGGCTTATTGTACAGGAGAGAGGTATGACTTGCTCTATGAGATCCCTGAAGGCAGAACTATATGTAAAGATTTTTTTTTTCCAAGTACATTTGGATCATTTGGATAAATAAAATACATTTGGATAAATAAAATCTTTTAAAAAAAAAAAGCTAAGGATGTATGATCATCTGTCAGGTGCACTGTAGAGAAGATTATGGTAAGACATCTAACTAGATGGCACCAAGATTCATTCATTCATTCATTTATTCATTCATTCCCTAATTATTTACTGACACCCTGCTATGTGCTGGGCACTTTTCTAGGAGGTAGGCTATTACAGTGAACAAAACATAAAATTCTCTGCCTTCCTGCATCTTACATTCTAGTGGATGGGGAATGGGAGGAATAAGGACAATAAGCAAGAAACAATAAGTAAAATGACAATTTAGTCATGATAGGAGATAGAAAAATTAAGTAGGGAGTACATTTAAGTACAGGGAGTGAAGGCTAAATTGCAGGTTTTTTTATTTTTTTCTAAAGATTTTATTTATTTATTTGACAGAGAGAGAGATCACAAGTAGGCAAAGAGGCAGACAGAGAGGGGGAGAAGCAGGCTCCCTGCTGAGCAGAGAGCCTGATGTGGGACATGATCCCAGGACCCTGAGATCACGACCTGAGGCGAAGGCAGAGGCTTAACCCACTGAGCCTCCCAGGCGCCCTAAATTGCAGTTTTAAACAGAGTGGTCAGAGGAAACGTTTAGCCACTGAAGGAGGTCGGGGCCTACGCCATGCAGATATTGGAAGTCTAAGATTTCTGGGACCCCTCAGTTCACACCACCCAGTTCACACCACTGAAGGCTGACCGGGCTCTGTTGAGATCCTCCTGTTCTCTGGACATGGGTCCCCTGCTGCTCCCGTAAGCACCATCTAGTGTGCACAAGGGGTCCAGGGCTGGCAGCCAGGGCGGAAAGGTGTGGAATTCTACATTGTCCACTTTGATCCACAGGTCTTTTCAGAGTCTGACGCGGCAAAGAAGATGGAGGGCAAGGAAGAGAACAGTCAGCTCACCTCCGCTGACTCCCCTGAGGTACTGACACCTGAGTCGTCGGCTTTATTATGCTCTCAGTCTTGATTCACATGAGGTGCAGAAGCTCCTCATGGAGCAAGATGTGAAACTTTCTGCCTTCGCCAGCTTCTAGGCTGAGGAAGCTCTACCGATGGAGAGAGATGTGCAGGGCGAGTAGAAAGTGAATAAGCACACGTAACTGTGGGATTTTGTGTAGGTACAGTGTAGCCACTTTTCACTGCCCTGCACTGAAAAGAGCAATTCAACAGCATGGAAAATTCAAAATTCATTTAAATGTGACTTTGTGACGTATTATATGATTTTAGTATGGGGTCAGCAAAAGAGTGAATAAAACAGGTTTGCCTCTTGGGCATCATCTTACTAAAGGGGAGATGATAGGGGCCTACATATAATTCTTGAGGAAAAGGCCAGTAACACTGTCCTCTTTGGGAAAGAGATACAGGGTGCGGCCTCCTCTCCCTGAAGCTACCTCCCTGTATTGGCTCTAGGATTACTTAGTCATCAGCTAAGGAGATATGTTTTTCCTTCCGAATTAAGCAGCTAGAGCATCTCAGATCGTAGCCTATCAGAGTCATCAGTCTCCAGAGGCCTGTGACCTGCAAGATCTGTTCCCTTCCCTTACAGATGCGCTGTAAGGCAAAATGTGCAGAATTATGAACGTATCACATATAAAAATGGGTACATAAAAAGAAAACTGTGAGCAGATCTGTTGTTGCTCAGCATTTGAATCACCAGAGAGAGAATGAAGGTCCTCTTAAAGAATAGTAACTTTCTGGAAGGTGGTGTTACCTTTGGGGCATTTCATAGCCTGGAATTGAAGGAAGGAATAAGAAGAAGGAAAATTCCTTCAAGGAGAAGGCCCCTTAGAGTGCCAAGGTCTTCTTCCCCTGGCTTCCACGCCTCGGGTTCCCATCTCAGAACCCAGAACTTTTCCCAAAGAAACCATCACACCACTTGCCTATCCTAACCACCCCAGCGGAGGGTCATCTCAGTGTGAGAGCTGCTGTGCATTCCCGAGGAGGACTGGTCTAGAAGTGGTAGATAGTGGTTTTAAAACCTATATTTATACCCTCACTGCCTCCCACATAGATTTATATACAGATGCGTGTCACAGAGATCACACAGTGTCTGATCATGAAAACAATGGGAGTCCAAAGACCTGGTTTCCTGTCCCAGCAGGTCATTTGACCCTTGGAATCAGTCTCTTGATCTGTGACAGAGAATGACAGGAAAGCCTTCCATGATGATCTCAGGCCATAGTAAAACAACACTGTATGTTGTTCGTAATGTCTGTGACCCTTGTGAAGTGTAAAGCACAGAAGACCCTTCTGAGCTGAGAGACTGGAGGTTGAGCCGCCTCTCACGGGCAGAACTCTTCTTTTTGTAGAGCCAAGATCTTCAGCTTCATGTCTCTGCCATTCCAGAAGAGAGCAATGTCATGCCTCAAGAAGAGGTAAGGATGCCAGATAACATGGAGAATGGGGTGAGTGGTAAGACTGGGCATTGGGGGTGCACAGAGGTTTGACTAGAGTCTGGAAACCTCACCGTGGGCTACAAGGGGAACCTGGCAGTGAACAACATCCTCAGGGCAAAGTCAAGCAGGCAGGAGCCAGAGGACCCAAGAGTAACCTGGGACTTTGTGGCTCCTGTGCTCATTTCCCAGTACTTGTCCTTAAACCTCTTGACCTCTCTCCTAATTTTTGACACAGAGTGGGGGAGAACAAGCAGGGGAGGGGCAGGCAGAGGGAGAGGGAGTAGCAGGCTTCCCCCACCCCCACCCCAAGCAGAGAGCCTGACATGGGGCTTGATCCCAGGAGTCTGGGATCATGACCTGTGCCAAAGGCAGACACTTAACTGACTGAGCTACCCAGGTACCCCCTAAATATTTTATCTGAACTTATTTCAAAAAGGAGTTAAGTGGGGTGCCTGGGTGGCTCAGTCGGTTAAGTGTCTGACTCTTGATTTTGGCTCAGGTCATGATCTCAGGTTTGTGAGATCAAGCCCCACATGGGGCCTCTTGCTGGGCATGGAACCTGCGTAAGATTCTTTCTCTCTCCCTCTGCCCCTTCCCTTCCCCACTTACACGCATGTGCATGCGTGGGCGCACACACACACACTCTTTAAAAAAAAGAAAAAGATATATAAAAGGCACACAAAAAGGTAAATACACAGACACACAAAAAAATATACTCAGAAGTAAATTAGCAGGTGCTTGGGTGGCTCAGTTGGTTTAGCGACTGCCTTCTGCTCAGGTCATCATCCCAGAGTCCCGGGATCCAACCGCACATTGGGCTCCCAGCTCCACGGGGAGTCTCCTTCTCCCTCTGACCTCTCTCCTCTCATGCTTTCTCTCTCTCTCTCTCTCTCTCTCTCAAACAAATAGATAAAATCTTAAAAAAAAAAGAAGTGAATTAATGATATAAAATGGAGCCATGAGTTAGGCAAGTGCAGAAACACATTCTATAAAATAAAATTAAGGAGGATGGACCACAAAGTTGGTTCCACACTCCCTAACGTCCAAGAGGAAGGTACAGACCTGGTCAGTTCACCCAGTTCACGATGCCCAGTCCTTAAGAGTAACAATTCCAGATACTAAGATGAAAAATAACTTTCTCCTGTGAACCCTAAAGAGATGACAGTGAACAAATCTTTACAGTAATTCCAACAACCGGTTTCACACCGCCTCCCTCCACAGAAGCCAGTGCCTTACAAGAAATATAATTCTACAGAAGCGAAATGAGCCCTTTCCCCGTGCCCACCCGGTGGTTGGTGGGAGGGCAGGTCAGCATCTAACCCAATCTTGTTTCCTTTCTAGGTATCTACAGTTCAAACTGATTACCTCTGAAGAGGGGCTACTGAGACCTCCACACACACCTCCCCAGAGAAGCTTCTCAGCTAGAGGGTATATAGGTCAGAGGGACTTAAGATCTAGCATTCCTTTGTAGGTTCTCGAACCGTTTGAATGCTGGTGGTCTTGAAACATCTAGCATTAATGGAGGCTGAGGAGCAGACTTGGGGGAGGGAGGGCGGCAGGCTGGGGAGAAGAAACTCTTAGTTCCCGGGAATATTTAATTCAGGCTTTTAGCACTGTTAGAATAAGAAGACTTCATATATTAAGTAAAGTCGGCCTAAAGTGACTATAAAAAGCATAAGCATCTGTAGACAGAGACACGTCTGCATAGAGACACATTACCACAAGTACTCAGAGAATAGTGAACGAATCTTTGACTTACCACTCATTTTGCAAGACTTAGAGCCAAAAGAACAGATTTTCAGATTGTTAAATAAAGGATTACTCTGTGTATGGATTGCTTTTCTTTTTTTGACACGAGGAGTTGTCCCTGCCCCACACACTGTTCTCCACCTAGATAAGGTCATGGATTCTACCCCTGTTCAGAAAGTTTTAGTCACATCCTTGACCCCCAGTTGGAATGATGCCAGGGGCCACGGGCTCCTTTGCTCACCAGATGCCCTAAGGCAGGCCCCCTGCCCCCACTTTCAGCCAACAAGCAAGTACCGGGGAAAGGGGTTACATTTTAGAGCCATAGCCCACATTTACAGCCTGCTACTTGGTGTACATGAGTATATGAGCAGGCTGGAGAGAGAAACGGAGCTCCCAAGTGAAGGGAAAGAATACAACCAGAATGATAGGGTGGAAATGGCACAGAATTTAGAATCCAAAATCCTGGATTCAAGTCCTATAATTTACTTCCGGGAAAACGTTAAAAATGCACTTTGACGTCCTGCCACCCTAATAAACACACACGTGCCGGTGCTTCTCCCTCTTTGCTTCTGTTCATGGGGTTGCTTCTCCCTCTTTGCTTCTTTTGCGGGGATATGGGTGGTGTCCCAACTCATGCAGCCACCCAGCAAGCATTTGCCAGCCCCTGCTCTGTACCAAGCACCATATGAGGTACCAGAGAAACAATGAAAGGAAAAAAAGTGACAACTTTATGGAGACAGACTATTGAGCAGGGAGCAGAATGGACAGGATTTAGGAATGGGTTAGAAGAGGACACATGACCAAAGTTGTAAGGAATTATTCTGGGTTAGGCTTGAGAGACTAGGGTTTGGGGGTGCCATTCTCTGAAATGGTGATGACAGGCTGATGGGTGTCACTACGTGTGGGTTCTCTGCTTGCAAACAACAAACTTCCTGATCAAGCAACAAAGAATACGTTGGAAGGACACTACGCAGCTCTTCGAGCTGAAAGAACTGGGATGTCTGTTGCAGGAATGTGTTGGGCTGCCCTCCAAGCAAGAGACTTCCACCACCTCCTTCCTCTGTGTCCCTTCCAGATCCAGATGCCCTGGAGAAAGAATGAGACTGGCCCAGTTTATAGAGATGCATGGTAGTGTCTACAATGACCGACCAGTGGTGGTGGTGGGAGGGTGTGCACGAGGAAGCTTTCAGAGAGATGGGACTATTCATAATGCTGTAGTGATCGTTTAATGAGTACACTGTTGAACGACACATACCTATGTGTCAAACCGATCACATTACACACTTATTGTGTAGTTGACTGCATGTCCTGTATAAGCATTGGATACAAGGAGCTTAAGAACTTGCAGGATTTTCCAGTAGATGTGTCTGTCAGGGAGCTGGAAATAAATGACCGTATTTTGGAATCATTCTTCCAAGATCTAATCCTACTAGTCTTCCTTAAAAACCTTCAAAAGATTTCTACTGCTGAAATGGAGAAGAGGTTGCATGCTTCCCTGTGAAAGCCCTACTGCCTACATTTTAATACCTTTCTCATAAGGCAGCCCATTCCCTTGGTGCTCAGAATCGCGGCTGGGAGTGCTACTCCAGGGGTATTGGCAGGGTGGGTGAAATGCTGGCAATCAGGCCCCCAGCTGTCCATGGCCTTCCGGGACCTGCTTGGAATCACCCTTCCATATTCATCCAGCAAAATCCAATTTAAGCCTTTTCTCTGCAGGGCTTTCCCTCCTACAAAAGGAGTATGCCAAGGAGGACTTCTAGGGACTTACAGTTTGATGGGGGTCCGGGGGAGACAAGCACCCAAGGTAACTGCTAGGATAGAGGCACGACAAAAGTGGAGACATTTACTAAAATGTGAGACTGATGCTTCATGTGCATGTGGCCCCACGGAAGATTCTGGGAAGGCAGGGGAAGGGGCCAGTATGCTGGGCATAACTAGTAATTTGGCTTATTTAGTGTAGATAGTCTTGGCTAGGAACGAAGTTGTTTACCCTGATTTACAAGGTGGTGAAGTTGGGGCTCGTTGGTGGCTCAGTCAGTTAAGCGTCTGCCTTCGGCTCCGGTCATGATCCTGGGGTCCTGGGATGGAGCCCACACGGGGCTCCCTGCTCAGCAGGGAATCTGGTTGGATTCTTTCTCTCCCTCTCCCTCTGCCCCTCCCTCTGTTCTCTCTCTCTCTCTTCTAAATAAATCAATCAGATGCTCTGTTCATTAGGGAGAATGCTCTCCCTCTGCTCCTTCTCCTGTTCTCTCTTTCTCTCTCAAATAAATAAATAAAATCTTTTTTTTTTTTTTTTTTTTTTTATGGTAAAGTTGTCCAGGGGAAAGGCTAGGATTTAGAAGACTGCCATCCTGTGGCTAGCACAAGAAAGAGCTAGAAGCCAATAAATTGGGCAGAGATGAGTATCTCTTATTCCCTGCCCTGAGGTCCCTGAGGTCTGTTGACAGAAGGATGGCTGCTCCAGTTTCTGAAGTTCAGCATTGAAACTTTGGAGAACACTGCAAGTTCACCACCACTGAGCCTCCATTCATCATCTGTCTGTATGCACCTCCTTATAAAATTAATTGCAAGAACATGCCCCAGTCCCCGCCTTCCGGCAATCTGAAGGACAATATTGATAGCTAGAGAAAACTGGAAACATGACACAGCCAGGATATATAGGATACACCAAAGAACAGCATACACACACTGCCGACAGTATTGCTATTCTATGCTAAATTAGGTGCTGAGCATATGCATACTGGATCTTACTTGTCTGCATATTTACACTTTTTAAATGAATGGTATGTGCCAACAGGGATAAAATCATTGTACCAGCATACCTTTAAAGGTTATATTTTAAAGAGAAAAACGTTACTTGTGAGTGATTAACCATCAAATTGTGAAAGTAACAGGACATTTCAGTAGCCAGTGGAGCTGGATGGCCTTGAAAAGTATGCAGGGGGTCATGACAATCTTTAGTACATAATGGAATATGCTATGGGGACAGTAACCAGATAACAAAAAAATCTCAACCTTTCCTGGAATTCATGATCAGCGTGTCAGTAAATGCAAGCATTTGTCCACCTTGGAATTTAACCCTTAGGACTTGAATTTCCTTTTATCTTGGATATTCTTTTATCTGAGAACTGGCCAGCCTGACCTCTTTTCTTAACTTGCAGACATCTTGCCTACACGTTACTTTCTTTGCCTTTCTTGGTTGGATTGGTAGTTTTCCCACATATGGGCTTCCTTCCTCCTCACTGATAACTACTATGCCTTTAAAAAATACATTTTAAAACGATGAATTTCATGAACTTACTCTGTTTTTTCCCTCTGGTTTTTACCAACCAAATATCTTTAGGAATGAAAACAAACATGCTTTTATTTTTATTTATTTCAAGATTTTATTTATTTGACAGAGAGAGACAGAAGGAGAGAGGGAACACAAGCAGGGGTAATGGGAGAGGGAGAAGCAGGTTTCCCACCGAACAGGGAGCCCGATGCTGGGTTCGATCCTGGATCATGCTTAATGACTGAGCAACCCAGGCAACCCCACGTTTGCTTACTTTATGTTTTCGTTTTTCTTCACGACACTATGCCTCTATTCTCTGAGATTTTCTGTCAGTCTTTGTTCCCCAAACAAACATGCACCAGACCTGCCTGTCAATCTATATAAACATTGATTTCCAAAACTAGAGAGCTCCTCACAGGAATAGGTAAGCAAGGAAATCTCTATCACTGGCAGAATAACCACTTGAGTCCTAACCCTAAATAGGAAGCCAAGATAAAAACAGCTAGCCTTGGGCACCTGGGTGGCTCAGCGGCTTAAAGTCTCTGCCTTTGGCTCAGGTCATGAACCCAGGGTCCTGAGATGGAGCCCCACATTGGGCTCTCTGCTCAGTGGGGAGCCTGCTTCCCCCTCTCTCTCTCTGCCTACTTGTAATCTCTGTCAAATAAACAAATAAAATCTTTTAAAAAATTAAAAACAAAACAAAAACAGCTAGCCTTTTTTTTTTTTAATTCATTTGACAGAAAGATGACAAGTAGGCAGAGATGGGGAAGCAAGTCCCCTCTGTTGAGCACCATGACCTGAGCTGAAGGCAGAGGTCAACCCACTGCCTGGTGGCCTGGGCGCCACCCAGGCGCCCCAAAACAGCTAGCCTTTAATGAGCACTTACTATGTGCCAGGTAAGGTTCTAACGCTTTGGATGTATTAACTCATTCTCTCCCCCACTAACTTCATGAGACAGCTACTGCCCTAGATAGAGAAATGAAACCCAAGTGGCTTGTCTGAGATCACACAGCAGGGCGGATTCCAGAGCCTGTGTTTATAGTATTACATCCTTAGTCACTGAGTTCATTAATTTGGAAACATTTCCTGCCACGGAGAAGTGAGTAGAGATGGCTCAAGTACGGCACGATTAGCAGTTAAAACTGAGGTGCTCACCACGTGCTAAAGGTGTGGCTGTGACATGGCTTCATTCCAGGGATGAGGGAACAGATTTTAGAGATGTTAAGTCATTATTAGCCCAAAGCACCGCGCTAACGAGCGGCGGGGCTGGGACTGTTTGAATCAAAAGGCCATGCCGCTCGTGACCTCTATACTCCACCGCCTGAGAAGAACTTCAGACGAGGAAGATCCGGATGGGGCCCCGGTCCCCTCCCCACCAACCCGCCCGCCTTCCCCGCCGCGGTGCGCCTACTGAGCTTACGCGCCAAGTTTCTGGACACCGACCTATCTACCTAAATGACATGCAAACGCCCGTAAATGTACTTTCCACCTTTGCTGGAAATTCAGATTACGTCTATGGGGAGCCAGCGGACAGATCCCAGTTATCCCAGTTCCGATCCCACGCCGTCTGCCTCCTCGGCGCGAGGGAGGAAGCGGCTCCGGATGGAGAGTAAAGTGACAATCGGACAAGGAAAAGCAGCCTTTCCTCCCGGGGGAGCAGAGGCGGCCGGCCGGGCAGAGGGAACCTGCAGAGGGCGGTTTCTCTCCTCTTTTCCTGTCCCACCCAGTCGGCCGGTCCCTCCACCCCCACTCCCGGCCGGCCTCCGCAGCTCGCTCCGCGCGTCCGCCCGCCGCTTCCTCCCG